GCAGGGAGCCCGATGTGGGGCTCGATCCCAGGACCCTGGGATCATGACCTGAGCCGAAGGCAGATGCTTAATGACTGAGCCACCCAGGCGCCCCAGAAGCTATACTTTTAGACATGATAACATCTTACGTGTATTACCATGCATGAGATTTTAGAATGCATCTTTAGGCACATTGTTTTCATCCTCCCAATAGCATCCTATACCTGTCTCCAAATATTTAAGCCTTAACATCATGACTAAAAGTTATTTGAGGCTTATGTTTTTCAAAGAAATCTATTTCTTTTTTTCTCTTCTCATATAAAATCTGGTAAAATATTCTACATTAGCTGCTGTGAGGTTTAGTATCCACCTTAGTGTGTACATTTTATGGAGTCAGTGCCTGGGACTTACCCAGTAATTGGTATAGGTCCTTAGTAAATATTTGTTGAATGGATAAATAAATATGCACAACACTCTTTTATTGATTATTTGCTGATTGACTGACTTGAGTCTAATGAGTTAAGGGAGAGTGGGACGTGAATCTATCATAGTAAGTATCTACTGAGTGCCAGAGATTGGGCTAAGCACTTTTAATTTATATCATCATGTATCTGTGTTTCTCAGTCCTGGCACTGTTGACATTTTTGGCTGGATGATTGTTTTGTTTTGAGGACATGTCTTGTGTATTGTAAGTTATTTAGCAAATCCTTGACTTCTACCCACTTGATACAAGCACACAACCCGTCCCACTTGTGACAACCAAAAATATTTCCAGACATTGCCCAGTGTCCCCTCAGGGGCAGAATCACTGCTGGTTGAGACCACTGTCATAGATAAAGCTCACAACCACACTTTTGGGATAGGCGTTATTACCGTTATTTTTCCATTTGAGCAATCCTGGTCTCAAGGAAGTGATATAACTTGCATATGCTCGTTCAGCTATTAAGGAATAGATGTGAAGTTACATCCCAGATCTGCTGGCAGCAATTTCTGTTGTTTCTACTTTACCACTATGTCTCTGGCAGCTTTTTAAGATAAGCAAGGCACTGGCAGAGACCTCTGAAAGCACTCTCTAAAAAAAGGAGGATTAAATCAAATACAAAACAGACACTTTAAGATTTGGGTTGCATCATCTATTTAGTCTGTCAGCTTCTCCACCTGCATAAAAAGGGTTCCTTTGTGATACGAACATGAACATTTCAAAGAACAAATACAAAATAATAGAATTACAATATATACAGGAAAATGTCATGATTTTAATTATCTCACAAAATAAACTGCAGCTATACCAGTCAAGTAAGAGCTTTTTGCCACTTTCTCTATCCCTCACCCCCAGTTTTTACCCCCATCCTAAACACCTGGAGGAACCAGAGGCAGGAGAGTGAATGGAGGGGGAATAGAAAAACAGGCTGAGAAATCCTGCGTATCTCTGTTTTTTCCTATGTGTATTTATGCTTAAAGCATCTGTGAGTCAGAGTTGGCAAACATTTTGGGTAAAGGGTCAGGTAGTAAATAGTTTAGGCTTTGTGGGTCATGAGGTCTCTGTCTCAGTTACTGAACTCTACCTTTGAAAGCAGCCATCAAAAATACAGAGACAAATGAGTGTGCTTGTGTTCCAATAAAACTTTATTTATAAAAACAGATGGCCAGCCACTTTTTGCCCTCAAGCCATAATTTGCCAACCCTTGCTGTAAAACATTGCTCATTGACTTGTTTATTATTTTTGTTCACTCATTAGTATGTAAGTTCCAAGAGGGCAGGGATTTGGGTCAGTTTATCTACTGCTGTATCCCAGCACTGAGAGCAAGTTGTCCTTCACTATGCTTTCTTTCAGAAGTTTCTTGGCACTTCTTGAACATTTACACTCTTATATAAACTCCATCTTAAATCTGCTTATATTTCTACCTCAGACTTTCTAAAACTGTAGTTTACCCCAGTTCCAAGAAATTGGAAGGAAGAGAACCAGAGTATGTGAATTTAAATTATCTTGCTTATTTCCTTATTTTCATGGTCTGTTTACCCCACCAAAATGTGAGTTCCTTGCAAGCAGGATTCTTGTGTTTTGTTCTCCACTGAGTCCCCAGTGGCCAGAAAGTGCCTGGCACATTTTAAGTGCCTAATAAATACTTGATGAATGAATGAACACAAATTTTTTTCGGATCTCCTAAAAATATCTGTTGAAATCCTGATTAGAGTTGGCAGTGTGCTGTTCATGTTCTCAGAACAGTAGGAAACTGAGGTGCCTGGAGGGTTATGAGCAAGGGAGAGAAGATGAAAGGTGGTCTGGGAGAGGGGTCCTGAATAATGGGTCTGTTTGTGTGAGCAGACATAAAAGCGTGGAAGGATCCAGCCGCTGATATTAGCATTTTGGGGAGGGAAAGAGAATGGGATTGAAGAAGAGAGGGGAAGGATAATGACTTTGTGTATCTCTGTTTGTTTTTTTATAATGAATACCCTGGGAATTTATAAATTCAGTGAGCTTAAAATTTTATTTGTAACTCCCTACACTTACAAGAAATATTTGAGGTGGTTGAAAATAGGCAAGAGAAAAAAGAAAAGAGAAAAACCCCTCCCATACACAGGTACAAATAATAGAAACATTAGACAAGAATAAAAAACCATGCCATAGATCTATATATAAAAATGAGACAGGAGCTAAAGGACAGTATGGGAGGAAATCGCTCTGCCAGAAAATCTAACTTTTGCAATTCAGCCTACGATGTAACAACATTCAGAATTTTGGCAGATGAGGCAAAAGAGAGCAAAACGATGAAGGTGCCAGTAAGAATGAAGAGTAAAGTGTAAATCCAAAACCTTTTTTGGGAGGAAGAATTACTAGAACTTGGACTGACTTGTCCTTCTGGGGAGGTGGATCATCTAGACCTATCCTATTTTAGTAGCTATCATAAGACTTATGTGTGATGACTCTGCAGATTCTTTCATACATGAGAAACTCTCGCTGAAAACTATTAAATGAACATTTCATTCAGTAATGGGGTTTTCAGAGACTGGCATCTTAAAATTGCTTGCAATATTCCTATCCAAAAATAATCATTTTGCCTTTTTTTGAGATGCCACAAGAGATTTTTTTTTCCTTTGGCAGTTTTGCACATTGATTTTTGTTCACTTTAGTTTCAGCCCATGGGGACCGTGTGCCGAGAAGCAGTAAACGATTGCGATATTCGTGAAACGTGCTCAGGAAATTCAAGCCAGGTAATTTACAGAATCGTTACTCTGAACCTGACGGGAAAGAGTAGGGGGCTATAGTGCACTGTCCCCCAGGCAAAACGTAAAGGGACATGATGTCATGTCTTTTTCACATCAGTTCTCATTCTCTCTTTATTTACTTCTTGGGGATTTCAGTTTCAGTAATCGAAGCTTGAGCAGATGTGCAGCATCATTTTACCTCAATGTTGAACTAACCTCAGACTGCACGTGTGCCTTAACTATTTTGTTTCTGTTCTAAGTAGAGAATGGAAGGCATTGCTTTTTGTCCTGTTTTCTCTCCAGTTGGTGGAAACAGGAACCAGCCAAGGCAGAGAGACCTACAGAGCACTGAGTTCTGAGGAGGGGTCTATTCTTCTGCCTTGACTCTTGTTTTTCTGAGACCACCTGCGTCACCTCACCCATTAATAACTGCTCTTGAATTTAATGTCATATGGTTGTGAATGGAGAAGATGAGGAAGCTGATAAACTTTGGTGAGGGTTCACAGATTTCCCACGGTCATTGCATATACAGGCCGTCCTCAGTTCGCAGGGTAGTGCAGGGCCCTAACAATGACCGTGCAAGGTAAAATTGTGTAAGGTCATCTTAATAATCAGTGCAAAAATTACAATTGTTCCGTGATCTTTAAAAAATGTTGTCGGCCTTGGTTTTAAGTGAATAGGGAAATGAAAAAATAAACATATTTTTTTAGCACACTAAAAACAGAAACATTGAGAATTACAAGTTTTGTTTGTTTGTAAAATCCTCATCAGGAGCAGTTTGGGCTGTGCATGCCTTCTGGCCACAAACCTTAGGATCCATAGTAAGCATCTTCTCTGTGCCCTGTTGAATTGACTCCCTTCTAAGTTTGCATCAGCTTTCAACATTTTATCCTTTGCATTTTCAGTGTCATGAAATATCTTCAGGAGATGTGAAGGTGTGAATGTGAGGTTTTTTGCCAAATAGCAGTATAAACACGCCCAGTCAGTGACTTTTTGCTGTGACTCAATTTATATTTGATTTGAATTTCACTTCTAGGGTCATCCTTTTTCATTTCTTTTTGCATTTTCATCTTTGCTGACCAAGCCCCTCTTAACAATTACCCAGTTTTGTAAAATGTCACATGCTATTACCCAGAGACAGAGGCAACACACCTACACCTTCTGTTGTCTGTGCATGAACTAAATGAACACGGGCAGTGGCCAGTCACTGGCGGACTTGCAAGAGGTGACAAGTGCCCATGATGGGCAGCTATTAGATACCTAGTGATAATGGAACTGAAAGGCTAGTAGCATGTGGGCCTTATGCAGTTACTCACAGTTAATACACTGTGGTAGCTGACATTGGAACTGTGTTGTTGGGGTTCTGATGTCATGTCACAAAACTCTGGTATCTGAAATCCATGTATATGGGAGCTATGCAAAGCAAGGACAGCCTACATGTGTTTCCTCTAGAGAAGAGGGATTCAGTAGTGGTATACCTGCATTAATCATAAAAATGTTTTGTTTTAAAGGTAGTCATCCTAAGAGACGAGAGATCTTTCATGTAAAAGTATTTTCTTTCCTTACTATCTAATTAGCATTGTTTCTATAAGCTAACACTTAGTGATGATGAGGATACAGTGAATGACTGCCTTGTGTTCCTGGAGGGAAAGTATATTAGAGTGACTTCTTTGGAATGTGATTATACCATAAGCAGGAGTTTTAAAAAAGAATCCAAAATCCAAAGAGGATGTACAAAGATGCTTTTGTTGAATTAGTTGTAACAGCATAAACTGGAGATAGTTAGAAGTGAGTATTATAGTACATTGGTTATATGGTTTGTTAGCTCAATGCAGTATATTATAGCTATTAAGGATGATACCTACAAAAAAGCTTATTATGACCTGAGGAGATTCACGTGATGAAAAAGTAAAGAGAAGCAGGATATAAAATATCATCTGTAACATGATTATATACCCATATTTTAAAAAATCAAATTTTGTAGAAAAAGGTAGAGAAAAAATATACCAAAATATAAAAAAATTGTCTTTGGGTAGTGGGAACATGAGAGACTTTGTCTTTTGTTTTTTGTTTGTTTGTTTTACTTTTTTTACATTTCCTAAGTTTTCTGAAGTGAGTATATAATTATTATAAAGATACAAAAAATGTATAATAAATTTAAAAATACTGTTTATTTAGAATGCTTTGCAATTTTCTGCAATTGCTACAAGGGAAAAACGGGGCAATAAAGCATGTTTTTTCCTAATGTGCCCAAGGTGGACTTCCGCTCAAGAGACATTACAAGAGTAAGGGCTGAGGTGCTTCTCAGGGTAAAAAAGAGGAACCTGTTTATTGCTCCATTTTTGTTGGCATCCTCCTTGCTTTTGTTTTGTGCTCTTGTTTTTCTTGCTCTGAGGAACAGTGTATCTGTATAAAGCAAGATGCTCTGAAATGTTAGGGTTGGCTGAGTCATAGCTGTAGGTTCTTTTTATTTGCTACAGTGTAATCAACTGTTTTTGCCTCTAGTAGATCCATATTTTTAGGGGAAAGTGCACCAATTGTTGTATTTCCTTCTGCTTCCTCTTGATCTTTTTTGTTTTTATTTTCAGATGTTGTAAGAGACTTAGCCATATTATCAGACTTTTATTTTCAAAAAAAAAAAAAGGAAAGAAAAGAAAACATTACAGGGATTAGCTCAGCCGGATATTTTGCTGTGCACTTGGTTCATAGTTCTGTTTTCATTTCCTAGTGTGCCCCAAATATTCATAAAATGGATGGATATTCATGTGATGGTATTCAGGTAGGTTATTTCATCTTTACCTAAATCTTTCATGTGTACCAGCATGAAAGAAATACTGAAATTTTACCAAAATAGGAAAATCAGTTTAAATGTTTTGTAATCAATTCTGAAGATAAAAGGTTTTATAATACTCATCTACTAGTTTTCCCAGTCCTATTTTCTTTTTTCAGTGATCCAACATAAGCAGACATTGCATTGTTAATAGGTGTATGCTTTTCCATTTTAGGGGATTTGCTTTGGAGGAAGATGTAAAACCAGGGATAGGCAATGCAAATACATCTGGGGGCAAAGTAAGTAAATAGTGTGGCTTGATCCTTTTCAAAGTTATGATATCAGGTCAAAGCACATGATGTGAGCTGGAAGTAAATTTTCAACCACTTTATGACTGAGGGATTCTCAAAAACACTGCAGGTCTTAGTAGTGGCACTTTTGTAGACATTAGAGAAAGGCACCTCCTTTGAGAAGACACTGGCTGGTTGGTTGTGCCATTGGACAAGAAAGAAGGTGCCAGGCAGATGAAGTCCACTCCAGCCTGTGCAGCCCGGAGAATAGAGCAAACCCGGATTTCAGCTCCACTTACACTTCCCTCAGCTGAGTGTCCTTAACCAAACCTGTACAACCATGTGGGATGGGCGTGGACCCTGGATAGGGCGCCCTTGGCTTAGCACTGGGGCAGTTCAGCTAGAGTTGCTTTTTCTTCCTCAGCTTTCTCTCTTAAAGTCTAGCTCGCTTTCCTAATTACAGGTGACCCTCTGCTGAGGTAGCTGTGCCACATCAGAAAAGAATTTTAATGTTATTGCTTTCAAAGTTTGTCAGATTTTCGGAGGGCAATGTATAATATTTATATCTAAAACATATTATTTAAATTATATCTCTGTTTAAATGTGTATTTAAATATTGTGCCATATATTTTTTGAAGGCAGTTTTCGCTTTAAACTCTTTCAGAAGACAGTTTGTATTAGGAAATAAGCTATAAAGATAATCTTTAATTGTCACACATAGTGGCTACATTCTTTCTGAGAGGACAAGTGTATGCCCTCTTCTGAGTGACTGGAGAATGGGGGAGAATATGGAAATGCAGATTTGTACTCTGAGCAAAGAGATACAGTTTTTGTTTCCCCCACTTGAGAAAAACTGTTGCTTACAGCAAGAAGTAGGAAAAAAACCTGATTTTTTTTAACGTGATCATTTTTTAAAAATATACACAAACAGTTATCTTTTGATTAGTTTGCAAAGGTCATTTTGATTTAACTCCTGGACCGTTCCATCAACCAGCCTTGGCTTTAGCCAAAGCAAAGTCCTGACAAAGATGCTGACATAGCTTAAAATGTTATTTGACTCTCTTAGATTTAGCATGAATTCAAGCTTGTCTAAAAACAGAATAAAATTAAATTGTTTTTTAATAGTTGTTAAGAATTAGTAAACAAGGTAGAAATTATACTACTGTTTCTTGAATCTTTAATTATAGTGCATAGTTATTTTAATAAACTTGTCATGATGATTAATAAAAGTTGCCAAGTGAGAAATTTGTACTTTACATTTGGCACTGAGATTAAAGTGTGGAGTATTTATTCCAGGAACAATTTGGTAGCATCTTCCCCTAATTATTGGCCACATTCTGAGGAGTGTTGTTCTTGGAACCTATAGCCTCAATCCCATCAAAGATCTCCATAGATTTGTTTTCCAAATTTCCAATGAGCAGTCATGAAGAATGTAGCTGAGTCATGGATGTCTGTGGTAAAGGACAACTCTTGAGAACAATGGGTATAGTCTTTGGAATTGGCACCACTGTCATGAAGAAGAGTCTTTAAATGGCTACTTTCCCTTACTGCGAACATTTTGAGCAGCTCATGTGTTAAATCTCTCACCGATAGAAAACTCTTTTCTGCTTCAGAGGTGATGGCATCAGACAAATACTGCTATGAGAAACTGAATATCGAAGGGACGGAGAAGGGGAACTGTGGGAAAGACAAAGACACATGGATACAGTGCAACAAACGGTGAGATGGAGAAGTTTGCGCAGAGTTTATCCCTTAGTTAATTGCAGGTGTTACTCTCGGAGCCACCAGGATGTTCCTGTTCTCTGCATCCCGCAGAGCCTTCTGCTGCCTGCTCTCCTCATCTTTTCCCAGCATTCCAGCTCCACCCTGCGGAAGGCTCCTGAGTCTTAACACTTATGATGACCTCTCCCCTCAGGCCCAGGCCACCCTTGCAGCTGCCTCAGGACTTTCTCACCTAGAAGGCACCGGCTAGCATTTCAAAGCAACAAAAATTAAAGCCACCAGAATATATACTCTATTAACTGGCTCTGACTTTTCTGAACCACCATTTTTGTCAAAGATCTTAATATCTCACTGTCCTTCAGTTTAGAAGCCTTGCAGTGGTCCTTGACTCCACTGTCCCTCTGACACATTGTCCAGACACCAAAACATGGCCATTTGTCTTAATTGATCTCTTCATTTCCTTTCCTATTGCATTGCCGCAACTAAGACCTACATTAATTCTTCAACTGTTACAAAGGCCTCTTAAGAGTGTCTTAAGCCAGGGGTCTCTAGCATGCTGCCATCAGAATAGTCATCTGCTGAATCCTTTTGACTGTCAATTCTTTGTTCAAATGTCTCTGGTCCCACATACCTAATTAATAGTAAGAATAATGCCCAACATTTACTGTGCACACTATCTTGCAGTTTACATAAGCTCTGTTATTTAGTCTTTATGGCAGTTTTCCTCATTTTATGGAGGAAAAACTGAGGCACAATTAATTCATTTGACCAAGGTCATGTAGCTAGGATGCAGTAGAAGCAGAATTAGAATGTGGCAGTCTGATTTCAGAACTCTCCCTTAACCACTTTGTGGCATGTCCTACTGTCTTGTTTAATGAACAAAATGGAACTTTAGCTTGACCCTTTACATCCTCCTCAGTTTGCCCTCAACCTTCATTTTTTTGTTTTGTTTTGTTTTTTTCTTCTCTACTCTTCCAAATTCTAGCAAACCTTGTCATTCCTAGTCCATGCATTTTATTCTCTCACCTCCGTACCTCTGCTTGTGCTGCTCATTCCTCCAAAAGCACCCTTTATCCTCACTCTGTTACCAGTCACAGTCCCACTTGGACAACGCTGTATAAATTGTTTCTGGATTTACTCTAGAAATAAATCATTTCCCTCTTCTCTGAATTCCCACAGCCTTTTGTACTATTACTGTGGCCCTTGTTCCCGCCCCTCCATGTTTTATAGCTGTTTATGTGTGTGATTTCTCTTCTCATCCGAGTCTATTTCCTTGACCGTGTCTTTTTTTCTTTATATATCCTAAAGTACTTAGTAAGCTCCATGCACATAAATGACACTTATAAAAATGTTGAATATCTCTTCTGTGTTAAGAAAGCATTTTTGTTTGTGATAGCTATAATAAAATGATATAACCTTTAAAAATTATTTTTTAAGGATGAATTAATACATTTTTCTATGTTGATGATAGATATAAGTTCTAATTTTTCTCTATCTGATGAAGCTTAATATTTTCTTTTTTTTTAAATTTAATTAATTAATTAATTAATTAATTTTTTTAAAGATTTTATTTATTTATTCATGAGAGACAGAGATGAGGGGGGGTGGTCAGAGGGAGAAGCAGACTCCCCGCTGAGCAGGGAGCCCGATGCGGGACTCGATCCCGGGACTCCAGGATCATGACTTGAGCTGAAGGCAGTCGCTTAACCAACTGAGCCACCCAGGTGCCCCCTGCATGGCCTGATTTCATCATAAAATTTGGAGTTATAAAATTACATGTCTGAAAGGAAGGCTTTTCTGAATATTTATCATATGACCTCACCTCACACCCCAGGTGAATTAGTCCCATCTTGGAGTTAACGCTATTTCCTCGACTTCCCTGATTTAAGACCTATGTGGTAATTGCCATCACAAGCTTTGATCTTTTGAAGTAGCTCAGTGGTTTCATTGGTCATGTGAAAAGGGGAAGGCAAAATTATTAGTTCTGTTGTGTGTGATTTTCTGCCACCTACTGATGCAAATTGGTATTTCTTGTTTTTGCAATCTTGGAAAAAAATTACCTTTCAGAAAATATGAAATCTAAACTTCTCTTGCTAATGAAATTACCTATGTCCATTTGTTTTAATGATTAGAATGAAAGTACTTCTGTTTGTCATTTCTTATTTTTATGAAATTCTTTTGAGATTTCACTGTTTTTTCTTTTTTTCATTTCTGAATATATGTACTTTGCATATTCGCTAAGGAAAAAGACAAATCTTATTCATACCACAGAATCCTCTTCATAAATTTGAACCTGAGTGATGAAAGTTTTAGTGCTACTAAACTTAATTCAGAGTATGTTTAAGAATAGAACGAGAATGTAGAAGTTTTAATACAGGAGTTAAATTCATGAAATTCATATTCTACTTGAAATTCAAAAATGGATTTAGGACCTGAAAACTCGTTTCCTCATTAATGCTTCCGATTAAACTTTCTGCCCGTTCTCCAAGCCTTGGAGTGAGGGAATGGCGGAATAGGCAATGAGGAATACTTATTTGGAACTGATGGACCACTAGGTAATCAGATGGAGGGAATAAAAAGTTAAACATACTGAATAGAAAGAGTCTGGGACTTATTCTCCCCCTCCCCCAATCTGTTGGTTTCAACTATGAAAAATATAAATAACAGATTGGCACTTTTACTCTCATGAGCTCATTATTAAACCAAGATACTTACAGGGTGTATGAAATAGATAGGCAGATAAAGGTGCTACAAACAAAATTGATATGGAAATATTATCCTTGATGTGGGGAGGAAGGAGCCCAGTACTCAGTTGCTTGACCTTTCTAACATGTCTTCAGAATATTAACACTTAATTAGGTCACGATAGAAAGTTAAAAATTAAGTCTTTTGAGTTGTAAATTAAAAGTCACTGGTGTCTTACTATTATACCCCCTAGAACACATTTTTGTTTAATATCGGTTTGTTTTAAAACTCATGTAATTTTGTTTTAGTGTATGGCCAAATGAAAAAGAGAGACTAAAGTTTGAACAAAGTATTTCCAGTGTAAAGTTTCAGTAAGTAGTGATCACTTAGAAGGTCCCTAACAGCTGTGAATTAACTCATTCTAATATATCCTACATGATGAAATAAGATGTTCCCGTGTCCAATCATGTTTTCCCATTTGAAATTCTTAGGAAGAGCTTTAGTTTGGGATATGTATTCCAAAAGGAATGAATTATGATTTTTATTTCTATGAAAGCAGTTAATTTATAGAAGTAACTTGAATAAGATTGACTTTAGAACATTACTAACTAAATGTTTAATATGGTACAATTGATATTGGGAAAACAGGTGTTCTTTCATAACTGAAGCTTATTTATGCTGTTAAAAATATTTATTTGAAAATTTTGTCACTAACCCTTTGGTGTCGCTTCTAAAGATGAAGTAGAGAGAGAGAGAGAGAGAGAGAGTGTGTGTGTGTGTGTATCGTGTGAAAGAGAGTCTGTGTTTGTATTCCCCATGTTATTTTACTTTTTTTAAGGATTTATTTATTTGAGAGAGAAAGAGAGGGTGAGAGAGAACACGAGAGGGGAGAGGGTCAGAGGGAGAAGCAGACTCCCTGCCGAGCGGGGAGCCCGATGTGGGACTCGATCCTGAGACTCCGGGATCATGACCCAAGCTGAAGGCAGTCGCTTAACCACTGAGCCACCCAGGCACCGTGTATTACCCATTTAGTTTTGCAATTCAGAAATCCTCTAGTGGAGACCTTTCAATGAATGCTAGACCTTTCATGTTTATTGCTCTCTCTGAATATACTTCCATAGGTAACTAATTCTTCTTTTTTTTCCTTTTCTTCTTGTCCATGAAAAGAAATTATCGAGAACAGAGGTATGTGATGAGAATAATCTGAACACATAACTGAAAGGTTTAAATCCTATTAACATCCTTGGAATTCATACATGCAGTTATAAAAGTTATAAATGTTGACTTTGTGATCATAGAGCAATCTTGTTTTTCATGACCTTGAAACGATAATTTTAATAATGGTGCTGTGGAATGTATTATTTATTTACAAATAGATCTATCATTATTTAATTTTAATGGTTCTTTCATCCAACAGTACCATAATAATAGAAGTTACTTGTGCTACTATTATAGTAATGTATATGGAAATGAACTTTTTTCCATCTAAAACAAACTTCCTCTATGTTAAGTAATCACCTGTGTTTACATTAGTTAATTGGCTTTTCTTCATCTTTTTAGCAATCTTATTGCCTAGTACTTTCTGAAGGAATTTATTTTTTATTTGTTACTATTGTTATATTAATAACTTCCATACAAAAATGATAAAATTTATATGGGCACAGTGCTGGGATCAGGAGAATGTCCTGGTACTTGATGGGCCTGTTTACTTCTGCATAAGAAGATATTTTTGTACTGATTAGGTAATTGTGTAGGTAAATAATTTGCATTATTGGAATCTCAGATTGTCTAGTGTAAAGGCCATAAAGTCAGACACCCTGTTCATCATAACCTTAAAATCTATGTTTAACCATCAGCATGAAAAGTGGTACAGAGCACTCATGTAGTTTTATAAAAATGCCTATTTTTTCCTAAATCTAAATTAACCCATTTTGAGATAGCCCCTTCACTTTTCACATTTAAAAAATTATTAATGCTCTTAGCTATTATACAAAAAATTTAAAATATCCTGGAAGACCGGGTCTTATGCATCATGTAATACTAGTTTTGTACTCAAGATAACTGTGCAGATTCATACTTAACTTTCCCCACTGTTGCATCAAATGTCAGGCAGATTGGGAATAAGATGTAATAAACATGATAACACTTTTTCAGGCCCTAACTAGCTTTCATTTTTTCACAAATTAAAATTTTGAACTTTACTTTTCTGTTTTGTTCCATGTTGTAATTTAAAATTCCTGTAAGAAGACTTTAGCCATAAGTGTCTACAGTCTCTATAAATGTGCTCATACTGAACCAACTAAGATCCTGGTCAGT